AGCATACATACTTGCAGCCAGCTGCGGTGCAGGTGTGGCCCTCACGACATAATATTATATGTTGATGTTGATTGTACTGATTAAAACTACTTTTACGGACTTTATCGCGTTTAATTTTAATTGATTTTTAATTCCCGATGATTTGGATGCTTTCCAGCACCCATGGTCACGGGGGACTGAGGTGACTGACGTCCCGATGTCAATGTTAACCCGGAGTATCATCAGCTTATTAATTATTGTTTATGGTCCGTTCATTTTGCATAGATCGTCGGGAATTAAAAATCCGTAAAAGTAGTTTTGATCAATGTGTAGTGTTCGCGTAATATAAGAAATCATAATGTTGATTGTAGTTATAAGTAGGTAGTCTTATTAAAGTCATAGATAGAACAAAACGTCTCCTTCTCATGTAACACCTTCCAACATTACATGGCGACCCTGCCAGGATCTAAACTGAATCTAAACTAAACTCTAATATACAGTTATGTCTTGTGAGCTATAACACTACATCACCCAACTTCAAGCAAAAAAATGCTACAGGTGTCACCTAGGACTAAGATGGAATGCCTCGCAGCTTGTTACTGTACTGGCTTACTTATACCCTTTTGATCGGAACTTAGAATTACTGGTATAATTTGATGGCAGAAAAAGATATGAGGGTGGTGACCACCCAGAGGGACTCCTAACCAGAAAAGCAATCCTAATACTTAGTGAACAGCCGCCCTTTGATGGCTGCACATTCATCATTACACTGATATACTGTGTAGTGACAGCGTACGAGAATCCATCACCTAAGTTCGAGCGGTGGGTATTGTAAGAGGCGACGAGTGGATACACCAGAAAGTTCAATTGGCCTCCGCCAGATGGCGGTATAAATATTTTCTTACGTAAAAATCCTCATTGGCTACGGGGGCGAAACTTAGCAATCCTTTATTTTGGAAAATTTACTTTAACTTTTCTTAATGATTTCTTAAATTTACGCGAACACTACACATTGAATAAAACTAAATTTACGGATTTTATCGCGTTTATTTCATTACTTTTACTTATTTTTAACTCCCGACGTTTCGGGTGCTTTACAGTACCCATGGTCACGGGGGGGGGGAACTGAGATGTTTGACGTCCCAATGTCATAGTTAGTCCGGCTACCTTCAGTTTTTTAATATTAATTTTTGGTCCGATTTACGCAAAACGAGCTTATAGTATCATGAAGTCTTGCAGTGGTATGCTTGGGTTTGGGTTTAATTTTGTTAATTATAGGATCCCAAGCAGGTGGCAGCACCCATCCATCTTCTCTATTGAAATTTGGATGTTTTTTAATTTCAATAGCCTCGCGTATCATCCTTGGTAGGAATTGGTGTTCTTTTGCGAGAATTTGTGGTTTATCAAATCGAATGTAATGGTGGGGACGATCTTGAACATGTTCGCAGACTGCAGACTTCCCGGAGCGTCGGTGCTTCACGTCAGCTATATGTTCTTTCACGCGGGTTTTTATGGATCTTTTTGTTTGACCTATGTAAGAGAGACAACATTCACAATCTAACTTGTACACTCCTGCATCTTGTAGAGGGATATTACACTTGACGGATGGTAAAAATTGACTAATCTTCTTCGGCGGCTTGTAGTATGTTTTAATGGAAGCTCGCTTCAAGATGTAGCCAACCTTGTCTGTGACTGCTCTGACATACAGCAGGTACACGCTCGACTGTGGCCGGCTTCAGTGCAAAGATCTTAAATCAGGCAAGTGAAAAGTTATTACGAACGGTGATTCAGCAGAAACGGTTCGATTTACATTTCATAAACAACACCATAGACAATTTGTTCAGTGAACTAAAGACAGTTTTAAGGACATTTGATTTTAATGATTGCATCGAAACTTTAAACAAACGAGAAACAGCAAAATATATATATATATATATATATATAATACACTGGTATTACAAGTAAAGCTAAAATAATAAATATTATGTACATGGACAAAACAAAGATCATGTTTAATGTCCATGTCACACCTATGCTGGTAGTTGTTGGGAGCACTATACTCGAAGTTGTTGACGAGTACGTTTACCTGGGACAAATAGTCCGGCTAGGTAAGTCCAACTTCGACCGAGAGGTCAATCGACGGATTCAACTCGGCTGGGCAGCGTTCGGGAAATTACGACATATCTTCTCGTCAGGTATACCTCAATCTCTAAAAACTAGATTGTACAACCAGTGCGTGTTGCCAGTGATGACTTACGGATCTGAGACGTGGTCCTTCACTGCTGGCCGTATGAGGACGCTCAAGGTTGCTCAGCGAGCTATGGAGAGGGCTATGCTCGGAGTTTCTCTGCGTGATAGACTCAGAAATTAGGATATCCGCAGTAAAACCAGAGTGACCGACATAGCCCAACGGATTAGTAAGCTGAAGTGGCAATGGGTCGGCCATATAGCTCGAAGAACCGATAACCGATGGGGAAGAAAGGTTCTCGAGTGGTAGCCTCGTACCTGTAGGCGTAGTGTAGGGCGACCCCCCACTAGATGGAGTGACGACCTGGTAAGGTATGCAGGAAGTCGATGGATGCAGGTGGCTCAGGACCGTGCTTTGTGGAATTACTTGGGGTAGGCCTATGTTCAGCAGTGGACTTGTGAAGGGCTGTAATGATGATGATGATGATGTTACTTAATATTGGAATAACATTCCTAAATAATTTAGCTATAGCTTTTACCCCCGGTCTTGCAAAACGTCACAGCTGGTGTGTTATCTATCCCACACGAACTATACAATCTTCCCTGTTAAAAGAACTGTTACTATGCAGCCCTGATCGCTATAGCTAGCATATGCAAAAAATCATTTTGATCCGTTTCCCCGTTGCTGCGTGAAACAAAAACAAACCAAACGCACTAGTAGGGATATCGTTTTACTTAATCTATTCTGATTATATTATTTTATTTTATTATTAATTGTGGTATTAGTAGTGTATTCTCATATGGTTGGGCTGAATAAATATATAAGAGGAAATGATAAATATACATAAATATATATTTCATATACCAGCACAAATAAATAAATAATACATAAATAAATAAAAGCACAACCAGATGGAATCCCTCGGCAGGGGAGACCAAACGGCCGAGGGTTAGGAGGAAAGGGAGAGAAACCGGCGGACGATGCGGGTAGGCACAGAAATGGGCAAAAAAGAACCGGCAGACCACCCATCACCCCCCGAGCCGGTTTTTTTTTATGGGACCTCGACCGCTTGGTCTCCCCTGCCGAGGGCTTCCATCTGGGATTTTACTCGTATTTAATCATATTATTTTATTTTCGATATTTGACGGCTGTAACAGTTTATACTAGTTTATACTATGACCGTTAACGCCAACTTATTTGAAATATGGCTTTGTAATTTAAAATCATAGATTACTATAATACACAATAGAATGGCTGTTAGCCTTATTTTGTACGAGGATCGGTGTCGCCGGGAGTATACATACAAACAATTACGTCGTAACTATTATTACTACTATAAACCCGATTCGCTGTATTGACTGACTTAATGTTTTTGACACATCAATATTTCTTTATTTTTTTCTAATATTTACAAAATATTAAGAGTTTCGACGTTGTGGTTGTAGGATATGTCTCCTTTATTTAAATTCCATTTCCCGCTGTTTTTTTTTTCGACACGTAATTATTGCACAATTTTCCATTATTAAATTATTTGCATGCAGCGACGCTTGACACGAAAATTGAAAACGATTATGTTGACATTTATAGGTGTGAATTGACATGTTAGTGACATATTAGTAGCTACACGGGCTCCGCCCACTCCCCCGTTCTATTATGTATGTATTATAGTATTCTATCTTTAAAATAGATTTATACAAGTGTAATGTGTCAAACTGAGTCTAATAAATTATTATTCTGATTTTAAATTTACAATCTTAATAAACAAATAAATACACTAAGTATACACTTTATTTGTTTAAATACGTGTACAAATATTTACAAACTCTTGAAAGGTTTTCTATTTTGTAAGATAAAATCAAGTTTTAGAAACTGAAGTCAATAAGACTTCAATACTCGTAGGAAAATTTTGTTTGTTAAACGCCACGTACTCTTTCGGTGTCAATACATATTGTAACCTATTATATATTACGTTACAATATGTATTGACTTTGTTTCAGTAAATAATTTTTTTTACTTTGGTGTTGTGAACCTATTACGCCAAAACTTTAAGCGACTACTAAAATTTAAAGTTAACCATTCATGTAACCTAATTGAAAGTTACCATGGAGGCTGCATTTGGAAGTTAAATAAAAGAGCACTTGATAGAGAAGCAGCGCGGGAGGCGAGGGCGCAGGGATCGGCGCCCATTGGTCGCGTGTAATCCGTGGGTGGGCACGGGAAAGCATCCCGCTAATTTTCCTTAACGCTTGAAAAGCTTTTAGCATCTTTCCGCAGTGGTTCGTGTTTCCCGTATTTTAACTTATCACGTTGATGGGTTAAAGATTGATTACAACGTAGACAACGTGAAAGAAATATAATGCTTTTATTTTTGTAGCTTAACAGATGATATATTAAGGTCGTGCATCATAAATGTGACATTCATTATTCATTACAGTAGGTATAATAATAATAATGATAATAATAGATAATATATATATTGTTTCTAACATAACTTATACAAACAAATCATATTGAAGCTCTGTTAGCCTGTGGTAGTTTGAAAACTGTGTTACAGGCTACAGCATTTTCCTCGTTTCAGTGACACATAGTTGTAATGTGATAAACTATTACAGCAAACGATATAAACAATTAATTAGAATGACATCAAAAATAAAATAATATTTGCAGAATTTCGTGAGTTAAGAAATGTCAAAACATCCCACTGCTTAATAGTGTCACCTTTTTTCTTTTTAGATACCTTAATAAAATAATTATTCGATTTATCTAATACCTTAAAATGGCTTAAATGATCGGGGTGTGGGTGCTAGTAGGAGGGTATTGCGTGTAGGCGGGTCTACCGGGCGGGGCGCAGGGTGCCGAGGTGCAGCCGCGGCTCGGCGCGCCCACTGGCCGCACTCCTCAGTCGCATCGCGCTCGTCTCTACGCCCGCGCGCATACTGAAACTGCGAGCTGGATCGTCACGTCCGCTCCCAACTTTCCGATCGCGGAACTCGTTCTGTACAAGCCTGACAAGTCGCCGCCAAACGTCGAAATCACCTGCAAGGCTAACGCAAAGGTGCCACCAACAAGAACAATTACCTCGGCCCTAAATAGCCACCCTAATAATTGGCGTGAAGAAAGCGTACAAAGTGCAGCCCGCGACAGGCGAACCTACAATTAGCGGCACCTGTCGGACACGCGCCGCGCATTAATTCGCACCCGCGGTAAATGTACACGCAAAAAACGCCAAAATAAACAGGTATCGATGCACCTGCATCAATCTGCGGCCGGCGGTGGCGGCTCAGTGCGGGTGGTGAGTGCACGGCTCGCTCGTGGTGCGCAACTCCTCGAGGCTCTGTAGGCGATATGATCATGCTATTCAAAGGCAACAGCAGTAGGTTAGAAAACCTCATAGAAAAAATACAAGCCAATAAGGAAAACCACGACGACACTACTGACGACATAAAAGGTGAGATGTTTGATTTTGACATGTTTTTTGTTAACTTCATAGTAATTTCTAATTGAATGTTGTGAATTTAATATACGTAACTATTTACATGAAATCGATTAATCATTTAAGTACTATTCCGTTAAAAATAACATGTACAGTAAAAAAATATGACGCTCTATAAGAGAATAATAAATAATTCATGAAGTTCGCTGTTTTCATACCAAAACCGGTCACTTACACACAGTATTTACTTTCAAAATGATAGGACGAAAGATTAAATTTGATTCTTTACTTAAATATAAAAGTTATAGGAAGTGGAAAAAAGGGTTTAGCTTATCATTGAATAAAACTAATTTTCGTCCGGTGATCTTTGGTGCTACTAAGCAATCGAGATTTTGGAAATTTAAGATAAGTTGTAAAAAAAATAAACACTAAGCTTCGTGAAATTTTTATGTGTAATAAACTTATATAAGGAATTCCTTGCCCTAAATCTCGGGACATAAAAGGAGGTCTGTGCCCAGCAGTAGGACGTATGTATATGTATAGGCTGTAACTTTACTCACTTTGTATAAAAATACACTTTATATCACAATTTTGCTTAAGACGGTTCCCCTAGCGAGAGACCTTGAGCGTTCAGTCCCATACAATCCAGGCGCTCTCGCTACAATATATCACGGAAAAATACGCCCGAATATTTGGAATTATTTCAATTAAAAGAGATAAGCGAACTTAAGAAATTAAATAAAACGTGTAGAATATAGATTTTTAAATTATCTATCCATTAGTGTAATTCTCAAATGATTAGAGCATTTCCTTTAGCAACAGATGCATGTAATCAATAATTTTAGTCTTTTTTAAAAGTATTTTAAATGTATTCATAACACATAAAAACAAATTAAAACGTGGAATGTGATGATAGGATATCGAACATTAATAATGTGCTTTTAGATGTAGCTTATTTCTCATAACTAATGAGATAATAGTCTCTGAAAAACGCACATTTGCCAGGTTTTGGTCAGGGTACCGCCTTCACAATTTCAACATATACGCTTATAAAATGTCCACTGCTTAACATGCTCCCGCATTGTGCAGTAGAGTTATAAGTTTTTTTGCAATATTAGTTTAAGTAATATAATGACATAATAAACATATACATTTATTAAAAATTCAGAAGTTTAAAGAATACTTTACAACATATAAAATAGTGTTTTTTTTTTTTCTCCAACCATTGCTTCATGTTGGGATACTTGTCATAGCTACCTCGCTTCTTAGACGGATGGGCAACTGCAGTCTTTTATCTTAAATTTGTGTTTTGTGTTATTATAAAGATGCTGTCCATATTCTCTCACAGTTTCCTTCTGCCGCCTGTTAGGACATCTACGGGACGATATGGAATAGTGGATATTCTAACACTGCCCCTAATTATTTTGGTCATAGACAGAGTAAGCGTAGAAATAATCAAATAACGTTTTTGTTTCTCTTTCTAAGCTTTGTAAAGCTATAATCATCATCAGGTCACCTGTACACATGTAGGAATTGTTAATCAATACTTACCATCATTTCTGCAATAAATTTTCATCGTCTTATAATAAATAATATTAAATATTATTAAATAATATCCACAAGGCCGAAACCCGGTCAGGGCGGCTAGTCTCTATGCAGATTAGCTATCTGCGCAAGATAGGATCATAGCGCACCAGGTGTATTGCACTTTCTGCTCCCTCACTCTCATAGAAGAGTGTTCTAGCCAAAAAACACTCAATAACTGATTAAGGCCTGGCCTGTAATTCGAACCCTGGACCACATTCTCAGCAACCGCACTTACGATCACTAGACCAATGGAGCATTCGTGCATCCCCAGTCTCATCGTATTTTAATGACAAAGTAACTTTTGAGCATACTAAATGTAAAAAACGGCACATCAGTGTTGAGCCCAATAATATTATACATTATACAACAAATAAAATCGGTACTAACCAAAGACTATTATATTCTCTATGGTACTAACTTAGTACTGATTATACACAGCAAAAAGCACTTAGTACTACTAAGCGCTTTTTGCTGAAAAGGGTAGGTTTTATATTATTAATTTAAAAATATTATGTTATATAGAAGCCTCTTTTTATACAAAGACAAAAAAATAACAATAAGAGTGTGATAAAGGAGCACGCAGTCGACCTAAAAGTTTTTTTTTAGTAAGTGGACGCTGTGTACTATAGACATCTACATTCATCCTCGATCAAGATGCGTTGTAATCCATGAGGACTAAGATGGAACGCCTCGTATCCAGTAAAAAGGGTCTCCAGTTTTCGATACATACCATATGAAACACAGCAGTATTAAACTGCTATTTTACGCTGGTATTCTGTAAGAGCGTTGTCCATCCCCGGTCGACCCAACGTATTTGTGCAGCAACCATAATATAGCTGCAGAATGGCTCTACCACATTGTATAGCCTCTACCAAACTTAACCATAACCTATATTATTTACCAATTGAGTGTGCTCTTTGCTGAAATAACGACGAGCATGAAAAATATGTATTAAGATTGTCAAATGTAAACGCTCTTCTTTCTTTTGAGCCATTAGCCTATAATGAGTCAGCTACCGATCCCACGCCTACTCCAATAGGCGCAACCACGCCAAGTGCCGACTTATCTGCATCATGCTTCATCATACCCTCACTCCGCAGATTATTAATATGAGTACCTACTTCTTCCTTTTCATCATCATCATCATCATCATCATCATTACAGCCCTTCACATGTCCAATGCTGAACATATGCCTCCGCCTCCCCAAAGGAATGCCACAAAGCACAGTTCTGAGCCACCGGCATCCATCGACACCCTGCATATCTTACCATATCGTCTGTCCATCTAGTGGGGGGCCGGCCTACACTTCGCCTACCGGTACTTCTTACTTTTTCATCAGCCATCAAAAGTCCACTGCTAGTCTAGAGTCTCTCCCGTTATATTTGTCTTAATGGGTAGATTGACGATCGCAGTATTCTATTGTATATATATCTAGCTATTGTATGCTACCGCCGGTCACCGGTCTGGGTATTCAACGCCTGGTGTAGATTGATATACTGACATTTATCTGAAGCCTTAAGTATCTAGTTTTCTAACAGTCGTATTTTACGACGTCAACGGGAACAAATGGGCCAAGTTATTCATTTAGACCAGCACCACACGATCATATTGATAGAGTATAAGGCTCATTAGTTATTGCTATCGTTTGTGTAATTCACACCGAGTATATTTTTCTTAAGAAAATTATTGTGTACCGGACACAGTTCACGATTGTAAATGGATGCTGTGGCCCATAGACACCTCCATCTATTCTCGATTGAGATTCATAATGTATTTACGAAACACTACTTATATTATTATAAACAAATTAATACCTAAATATATAATATACTAAATAAATAAACACTACCTAATTATAGTATCGTATTACTTATAGTAATGGTGTTAAAAGATGAACACAAACAATAACAGCTAACACTATAAATTAATTTTGAACACAATGAAATAGTTAATGTGTCATAGGCCTTAACAAATAACTCGCCACATTCATTCTCTTTTTGAACGAAGTGACGATAGTCTGCTTAGCTTTGGTACGAACACTTTTGCAACTACCCTTTTTATGTGTAATTATTACTAAATAAATTGTTAAGCACTCAATTAGAAAATAAGTTTTAGCGACCTATTATAATACTAGCTCACTACGCCAATCGGCTTAATGTTTTTTTTAAATAAGTATTTTCTCTGTAAGTGATTTCTAATTCAGGACTAACGCCATCTAGTTGGAAATTGCAATAATGCTAACGTGTATATAATGATAAATAGACAACTTTAGTATTTTGTATAACACTTTTCCACCTTTTAAGTAGGGGTAGTTCCACGTAAATAGGGGTAGATTTTTATAATACTTTAAAATATTTAATATTCATAGTTATCATAATCACGTTTCACAAATTTGCCCACCACCATGCAATTAAAATCCATTTTTTTCACTCAAATTTTGTAGCCATTTTAAGACTTTAAAGTAAGATTTTAGGAAAATGAAAAAACCTATCCCTTTATTTTAATCTAAAAGTGTTCGTAATAATTTTGAAGTAACCAAAAACATTAAATAATTTTTCTCCATACAAATATGAAATCGCCACGTAAAAATGTTTTAAAAATTGGTACACCATATTTCACCCTCAAAGGCTTCCTAGTGGATGCCTACGAAATAAAAAGAAGTTATTGTCCCATTTTCTACGTACATTGGGTTGTACTGCGCATCTAAATAAAATATTTTCAATATAAAATTTGTACTCGTCATCAAATAAAAAAAAATTACCGTAAGGTAAATTTTATTATTTTAAAGCATTCAATATTTTTCATTACGTTGCATGTTTATACAAAGTGGAAAATTATTTGCCGATTCCACCATTAAGGTTATGCTTTGAGTAATCACAAAATTTATTTTCTCCATACAAAATTGCACATTTACCTCCCTCCCCCGCTCCTCTTTTGCAATGGGTTGATTTTTGAATCGCAAAATACGGATTCATTTATTTTATTTACGCAGTACTTTCAAAAGTATCGAGTCAATCGTCTCGTAAAATAAAATTTAAAGGCTCAATTTTTTTAAATCCTTTCGTTTTACGTCATAAAATTATTGTTCTTTGGGCGCAGATTTCCCCCGCAAAAAAATGGTCTGGTCCTCCGGTGGCCCGTGTCTTATGTGTCTGTCAATTGAAATATAACACCCTTTTTAAGAGCTGTCAAAACACATACTTTCTATAAAAAATGGAATTCTAGCTAATTGTTCAAATGTGTGTTCAACAAAATTGTTTATATAATTATAATATTAATATAATTATTGTTTCCAGACTCAGATATGTCTTTAATAAAATTTGAAAAATCTT